TTTGTGAAATCTATCCTATATAGCTATAAAATATATTATCAGAGTTTGACAAATCTATGCTATATAGCTATAAAATATATTATCAGGGTTTGTCAAATCTATCCTATATAGCTATAAAATATATTATCAGGGTTTGTCAAATCTATCCTCTATAGTTAGAAAATGTATTATCAGGATTTGCTTGTTTCAAACACCCTAATAAAATTCTCCGAACAACAACAACACTTCTGATGATACATTTTGTTTTTCATTCAGAGAAGAACGTGCACAGTTACTAAATCATTGTGTACAATAATATCTACGATTTGCATTGAAAAAGAGTTAGCTCTTGTGGAAGACAAGATGTCCAGTAAAAAAAAACACAAGTTCTCAAAAAAAAAAACATAGATAAAACTTTGTCATCTGTAAAGTGTTTCTTTTCTTCGGCATGGTGCCCGCAAGATCCTTTAAGGACAACTGTTTGTGCACCTATACATATTTATGTGGACGTACAAACAAACTGCGAAGGCTAATCACTGTAACCCCGTACAAGGCTATGGGCGGTATTAATACCTATAAATGGAGCTCCGTAATTGGAAGAGCTTAATGAGATTTGGATACAAAAGGAATTCTCAGGCGTAGACACGCGAGAACAATAAAAATAATCTTTACAATTTAATACATGACATCATACTATTTTCTTACATACGGCGAATATAACTTTTTACCATAATAATCCAGATTTATAATTGCCTTATTTTCAACGTCCTGCCTTCGAAATATCTAGTAGAACCAAAACTAAAAAAATATCTTAACCGATAAAACAGCAAGTCAAGGCATAGTAATAAACTTTTTATATTCTTTTAAAATTGAATTGACCGAAACCCAAGGAAATTTTAATAATTAAAAATAAGCTTAGAAATTCAGTGAATATTTTTAGATAGCTTTAAAGTTTATAAAAGTCGTTAAGTTTTGCTATAATAATATTATACAAACTATACATTAAGTGAATTTAGCTCAACTGAAATTAAATATAAAAGTTACGGGATTTGACCTGAAATGTTGTGTTAGCCATATATAATTGGGTTAGTAGTATATAAGGTGAAATCACTGTACTCTTTATTTGTTTTATCTATATCACAGACTGTATAGAAAACCAACAACAAAATACAGTCTCACAGGTTTAATATTTGAAATGAAAACCATTTAGACTGCTGAGGTACTTTTTTCACATTCTAGTTAACTTATAGATTAAAATTTCAACTAGGGAGTTGAAATTCGGAATGGACAAATTTAGAGGAATATAGTTTAAGTAATTTTTATTGCAAATATTACACCAATAAGATTCAATGCTATATCAGCTTCTAGCGCCCAAAGCGTTAATTTAAAATACATATGTCTCACTATGCAAAGCGTTACTGAATCTCTTTGAATGTAAAGTCAGATATAAGAATTATTTACATGCTTATTGTGACACCTGGTGACAATGTTGAGCACTACGGTGTTTGACGAATGGCAGAACTTCTTTTAATTTTTGTGCTTTCCACTCTTAAGGTGTCTATGTATGTATGTATGTATGTATGATGTATGTTTATATACAGAGAGAGAGAGAGAGTGGTGGAGAAGTCGCTACGAGTCAAATTAAAAAACATAAAAATGTGCCCATTGGTGTACGATTGTTTAATAACACTAAATAGAATAAAATGTACCCATTGGTGTACGATTGTTTAATAACACTAAATAGAATAAAATATACCCATTGGTGTACGATTGTTTAATAACACTAAATAGAATAAAATGTACCCATTGGTGTACGATTGTTTAATAACACTAAATAGAATAAAATGTACCCATTGGTGTATGATTGTTTAATAACACTAAATAGAATAAAATGTGCCCATTGGTGTACGATTGTTTAATAACACTAAATAGAATAAAATGTACCCATTGGTGTACGATTGTTTAATAACACTAAATAGAATAAAATGTACCCATTGGTGTACGATTGTTTAATAACACTAAATAGAATAAAATGTACCCATTGGTGTACGATTGTTTAATAACACTAAATAGAATAAAATGTACCCATTGGTGTACGATTGTTTAATAACACTAAATAGAATAAAATGTGCCCATTGGTGTACGATTGTTTAATAACACTAAATATAATAAATTTTCATGGAAATGCATAATTATTATTCTGAGAAATTTTACTGACAATTTCCAGTGTATACGCTTTATACGGTAAACTAGTACAGTGCCAGGTATAGGCTTTAGTTTAGTTTTTAATTTCGCGAAAAGCTACTCGAGGGCAATCTGCGCTAGCCGTCCCTAATTTAACAGTTATAGACTAAAGGTAAATCAGCTAAATTTAACAGTTATAGACTAAAGGTAAATCAGCTAAATTTAACAGTTATAGACTAAAGGTAAATCAGCTAAATTTAACAGTTATAGACTAAAGGTAAATCAGCTAAATTTAACAGTTATAGACTGAAGGTAAATCAGCTAGTCAACACCACAAACCGCCAAATCTTGGACTACTCTTTTACCAGCAAAAAGTTGGATTGACCGTCACATCATAACGCCCCCACGGCTGAAATAACAATGGTGTTCGGTGACGAGGATTCGAACCCACAGATTGCGGGTGGAGCACCCTAACCACCAGGCCATGCCAGGCCTATATAGGTTTTAATCTAAGTTAGGAGGAACTGAATATAGGTGCAGGAACTGATGCAAAATTCCATGTAAAATTCAGAATATGTTTTTGTCGAACGATATTGAGATTATTTAGAACTGCCGAACTACTGTTGATATACTAGTAGGGACGAAGAGTCTTAAATTATTTATAGCCGTCAATCTACTATCCTTGTGGCTATAACCAGGTTTTGAACAAAGCCTGGAAACAAAGTAATGGTAGTATCCTACATATTTAAAATTAATAAGTTTAAACAGCTATAATTGGATGATGCTACGTTAATGGTGGCGAAACGTTTTATTGTATGGTGTTATTTTTTTAAAGTAAAATTGTATTTTAATATTCTGTTTTTATTTCCTGTTTTTAAAAGATTATAAATTTTGAAATGCCATAGTGTTTAGTTTAGTGTTTCCTTGAGAACATTCAGTATCATTACATTATTTTTTATTGCTGTTACACGAGATTTGCGGTGAAAGTATTAAATTATATATAATTTAAGCAATGCCTTTACTCAGAACCAGTAGTTAGTGATAATAATATAAAAACAAATGGATATTGTGCGAAAAAAGAACTCGTACTCATTTCTAGAATACATTAATTTTCCATCCGATTTAGAATGGTACAATTTAATAGTCCTAGAAATTGTACTTGTGTTTGAAAATTTAAATTAAAGTTTATTTTTGCCCGAGATTTTTATTTAAAACTATCTTTTAATATACTCTGATCACACAGAACTGATAAGATTATTTTTTACAGTGTGCTAGAATCAACGTTAATGTTTACTGTGTCCTCACTTAGAGGTTTTACTGTCAAATTATTACACTTTTCTTGTAAATAAAGCCCTAATAAAATAGCAGGCACAAACAAACATCAGTGTCCTGTCAACGAACTGTTAACAACTGCCACTCATTCCTAGAAAGCTGTTGAGCCACTAGCTGGACACCTCAGTTATTGATGACAGCGGGCGGTCAACGGGCACGTGCTTGGGCTGCTCGTGAAGGGGCGACGGAGGAACAACTTGCAGAGATAATGATATACTTGTAGCTTTTTGTAGCGGTACGCCCGTGAAGAGAATGGTAACAACGTTTCATATTTCGTTACAGCTGTACTCGTGAGTGGACCTGTGGCGTTGAATTGCTTCTGCCAGTGTAAACAATGATGGATGGTGAAGGCAGAGCATGACGATGTGTAAATAACCCATCAACTTGAACAGATAAACAGCTCAATCACTTTTAGGGTGTTTTCGGACAGAATTTCCGGAAGTGTGAAGTTTCGATTAATAAGAAGTTTTTGAATTGTATGAAACTTGACTACAAATACAAAATCAAACTTTTGTTGCTGCCCCAAGTGTGGTCAAATTATCTTCTTTTGTCGTAATCTTTCATGGTGACACAACCCTCGATAAAAACTTGAATGCGCTAGTGTGGACATGTACCATTCTAGTACAGACTTCTAACTCACCAAAAGTAATAAAGTTGTGGGTTTTCAAAACATAACAGTAATCCATTTCAGAATATTTCTACGCTCAGGGGATTTTTTTATGGTTGGTAGTGTTATATTACTCCGTGTAAACTGAGAGTATTATCGATGTTTACTTAGATATTTACACCTGAATAAGGGGTTACGGGAAGAAATTCAGTTACTTTTAGATAAACGTGCAGGGTGATATTAACAAATGTTTTGGTAGAGTGGGTTTTACAGTTACGTACGTTACATTATTCATTATTAACCAGCACAGTATGACTTTATTCATTATTAACCAGCACAGTATGACTTTTCCTGTTCCATCATTAGTCACTCGTGATAGAAATGTAAAACAGGGATGAGCCGAAGTGAAATGAGAAGAATTTAAAAACTAATTTAGTTAACGAAAACATTTTTCAACTGTAGTCAATTGTTAATGTTCAATTCAATTATTCTCAAACTATATAGTGTACCAACGTGTGGTGTTAATCTCCCGCCCTTTTTTTTCCCTTCAAAACAGATTCGTGAAGTATACGATATATGATATGTAATTATTGTATCACTGATAAACAAATAAATCAGTCTACAATTTTCCTTTCAATTATAGAATTAAAAATACAACGTTAAAACAAGAATATAGGAGATTATTCTTAAACACTTATTTTTTCAGCTTAAACGTGAAAAAAAAAATCTTATATCTTATATTTTATTTTTCTTTCCTTTTAATGGTGTTTGATCAACAAAAACAAGACAGAATGACAATATATATCAATATATATCAAAGATGAGAGATTTAATAAAATATCAATTTTCATTCTAATAACGAGATGATAGAAAAGGAATTTAACACGCATGTTTATAATAACCATCTAAGTAATTAACAAGACATCAGCAAAACCTTTTGGCAACTACAGGTGATATTGTAGAACTTTTCGTGATATTATAAATACGTGATTAAAAAACAGTTAATACGCCCGTCATTATCATATTCCAACAAAATGCCATATGATATCCAAATTTTGTTATACAAGATGGCAGGATAAAAGTTATATGAAAACAACAAGTTCAAGACTAGCATTGTTTACTGAAGAAATTAACACTTATAGCTTGTCTAGTCCTTCAAGAACACATACGAACACGTTTTAGCTTTCTCTGTTCATCAAGGAACTCGTTTCAAAAGTGTTTTTGAATGGAAAGGAAATGGATCTCTTAGTTTTAAGCTTTCTCTTGAAACAAACATAAAAACAGTTTTCTCGAGAATCTAGACCACACAAACACAAAAAAGACATTCCACGAGTTCCTTTCAACCTACTTCAGTATTATTGAAGAGGGCGCCCCGTCCTGCCCAGTCGTCACCTTCAACGTTGCCTATTCAAAGTGATGACGTAAGAGATATATTCAGAATATTCCCCACTGTTTGTTCCTAAAACACTATTAAACTATGTTAATATGTCGAACGATCTAAACACTATTAAACTATGTTAATATGTCGAACGATCTAAACACTATTAAACTATGTTAATATGTCGAACGATCTAAACACTATTATACTATGTTAATATGTCGAACGATCTAAACACTATTAAACTATGTTAATATGTCGAACAATCTAAACACTATTAAACTATGTTAATATGTCGAACGATCTAAGAATAGAGTTGAAAAATTTTGCACAAGTGACGTCATGATTAGTAGACGATGTTATTTGCTATCGCGTGCAAAACATCGTTAATTGGTTTTCATTTTTGCTTGTTAACTCCTGTCATACCGATTTTATCAAATTAATGTATTTCTGATAGCTTGAGTCTTTTCCAATGATAAATGTATATGCTCTTCCACGCCTTTAAGAAAGGATCGCTTTTATCATTCCTGGCAAAAAAAAAAGTCTTTTAAAATACAGGTTACTAAAAAAAGGCTAAATATTCTGTTAGTGTATACGCATTTATAATTTCAATGCATAAAAAAAATTCAATACATATTCGTTATACTCTAGAATTAATTTTATATACATAATTGTATCTGAATTATATTAAGAGATTCTATCTATTCTGTACTCCTTAACTCGTGCCTTTGTTTTAGTGGAAATCGAAACAAGGGGTTATCTGCGCTCTGTACACCACGGGGAATCGAACCCCGGATATTAGCGCTACCCTCTGGTGGATATACTTCTTAACAATGACTCTTAAAACGTTTGCACATTTCTTTGTGTTTGGAATTATGGCCTCTAAAGCGTACAAAACGTTTCCAGTATCACTTAAATGACATTCATAAATGTTTCTTTACAGTTTATCAAAACACCAGTAGATTTATATCCAAGTATTTGAAACTCTACAACGCATGCCAACAAGAAAAAATAGTTCCTTACAAACGTAACGTATTTTATGTAGCTAAACAACACACGTACTAAGATAACGAACACGTACTTCTCTTAAACATAACTGTGATGTTTAGAAGTTGTTTTTACTAATTACACTATTATGTAAATAGCATTCTCAATGCGATCCCAATAATCAGAAAGCTTTCAAAACGTAATTATAGACTTAGGGTTATTAATTTTTTACTGTGATTCGTCTTTGTTTCCGTTTTATCTTATGTGATTTCTAATTATTCTAAAATGGGGGATATTTGAATGTAGCTGGCAAGAGGATAAATATATTAACTATTATAACAGAGATCCTACTGAAAAGATTCCGTTGAGTACAATTTAAAAAAAAAATCAATACAGAAAACACTATATTTATATAAGAATAACCTACTAGAAAAAAAGCGTGAAATAAATCCAATAACCTGCCAATTCTTGTATTTTCAACTTAAACGGCACCTTACGTGACAAATGGGTTAAATGGCCAGTTCAGAAGTTTTAAGATTCAGGTAGCCGTTCGTACTTCAGAACTGTTGATTAAGAGGGTGGGCAACCAATTACCAGTACCGCCCTCTACATGGGTACACTTAACCGAATAACGGGAATGGCTCTCACTCTTACAATGCGCCTGTAGCTGAACACTTGACATGTTCAGTGACATATAGTGGGATCGAGCCTTGGACCTCCCTATCCGAAACCCGAAATACAACCACTAGGCCACGTCAGGTCCTGCATTAAAAATAAATAAACGTTATGCTGGTGAGTGTAACAACGACACTAATAAATTGAGGAAGAAATCGAATTACGCCGCATTGTTTGAAATTACACCGCATTGTTTAAAATTACACCACATTGTTTAAAATTACACCGCATTGTTTGAAATTACACCGCATTGTTTGAAATTTCTATAGTTAAATGGCAAATCATTGTTTAAAATTACACCACATTGTTTGAAATTTCACCTCACTGTTTGAAATTTCTTTGGTTGAATGGCAAATCATTGTTTGAAATTACACCGCATTGTTTGAAATTTCTATGGTTAAATGACAAATCATTGTTTGAAATTACACCGCCTTGTTTGAAATTTCTATGGTTAAATGGCAAATCATTGTTTGAAATTTAGAACGTGGAAGCAAGGAGTTCTGACCCTTCTTCTGATATGAAGAAAACTTGAAATTTTATTTGCAATAATTGAAAAATACGATGGAAATGTAAAACACGTATTCTAGATAAAAGTATAATTTATAGAACATTTGAATGCTTAAAATAAAATACCAAGAAAGCCTCGTGGACTCGAATCCAGTCATGTCTCAACTTTTTCCTTAACTTTATTATACTGGATGATATGTAACTAATACTAGGCATCCTTCAATTAGAAACAAATAGTTGACTAACCGTGACCGAAACGAACTGATATAAATGCAATAACTATTTACATTTATAGTTATTAGCTTATATTATACACCTGATCATAGAATACGAAAGGCTAGACCAGCTTAGTTAAAGCCCATTCTTAATATTCATGCACTTCCTGAAGTCTTGGAATAATGTTGACCTTTTTTTTTTCTTTTAGAATATTGTTGAAGCTCAGCACATGAAATGAAAAATTACAGAACATCTGGAATGATAACATATTATTATATATAAAATTAAGGATTATCTGGAATGATGACATATTATTATATATAAAATTAAGGAACATCTGGAATTATAACATATTATTATATATAAAATTAAGGAACATCTGGAATGATAACATTATTATATATAAAATTAAGGATTATCTGGAATGATAACATATTATTATATATAAAATTAAGGAACATCTGGAATTATAACATATTATTATATATAAAATTAAGAATTATCTGGAATTATAACATATTATTATATATAAAATTAAGAATTATCTGGAATCGTAACATATTATTATATATAAAATTAAGAATTATCTGGAATCATAACATATTATTTATTACAACAGTTGCATTACTTAAATATAAAGCTAAGTGACCTAAACATTAAAGGATCTCATATTTAACCACCTAAATATGTACATTAGTTAAAATTATTGTGGTTAAATACGTTTAAAAATGTTTCTATATATTTTAATAATCACTTTGAAAGCCCTAGTACTTGATATGTTCTGACAGTACACAGTTTGTGACCTTATTTCTAAGACCTTTCTGAGAGTAATTACATTTCCTTTGAGTACTCTGTGGTTAGGGCTGAGCAGTTTAATATTTTCTAATTACAGGTAATTAATTGTAGACGGAGAATTAAGGGGCGAAGTTAAACTGGAAATTCCGAATAGTGCGACATATAAAAAAGAAAAATTGCGACTCTGTCTTCGTAATTATCCAGATAAGGAAAAATGATAAATCCTTTGAGTTTGTTCCCTCCTTAGATTAAAAGTTGATTCGGGCATGAATATATCTGGACTGTGTGAGTTGTTATCAAGTTTTTGTAACTAAAAAAATCCATACCTATTGTTTGCTTGACTATTCTACAGAAGTACGAAGGAGGAACAAACTTTGAAAGAAGCACGACAACACCAAATGGTCACTTTGTAACTATAGTTTACTGCTTGATTGCAGTGTGATTTAGAGGAGTTTTGAGCTGTAGAATCGTATTCAACCAGGTTTGAGAAAAACTTAACATTCTGAACATCTCAGACAGAAAAAAATTAGTTCCGATATGACGTCTTGGAACTCGTCCTACGTTAACGCGCAATGATAATTAATTGTTGTAAAATTTTGTAAATGTTATTCAGAAGTGAAAAAAACATTAGATGTGTGATAACAGTGTGAAATTCTAATTTTTGTAACATTGTGCTAATGAAAGCAAAAATACTTCCTTTCATCGAGTAGTGTTACTATTTCTCACTAGGTGGCAGGGATGGCATATTTGTAAAACTGTAAAACGTGTCGTTGTGGTTGAAATATCAGACAACACCTGTCTATATTTTAAGTTATGATTTCGCTTAAATGTTAGATATACACCTAGGTAGATAATAGCAGTTGAAGTTGTTTTTATCAAAAAGTCTGTTATATCCCAGTCATTTCTAGTTTCTTTCTGTTATTTTGCTCTTTGCATGGATATTCCCAGATATTGCGCACACAAAAAGAAACATGAAATTAACAGCAACAAAAAATAAAAACATGAGTTTATGGCCTAGCTTTGTATTAGTCTTTAGTAGTGCATTTGCATCTGTTGCATTGCAGTATACGCGTATATACATAGACTTTAAAACGCATAAAAAGAATGTCTCGTTTCTGTAACTATTTGTAAATTATATCAGTTTCAGAAACTAATATAAAATACCTGTGCTCCGATTTAGGTTCAAAGACCCATTAATGATTCAAAGAAACCCCAATGTACAGATCAAGATCCTCCATTATCCCCAATCACTTTTGTAGCTGCTCCTAGAGGGGTCCGTACCCGATAACACCCGCTCCTGAAACGAGAACGCGTGAACTACTTTGGTTCTGTTAGCTTGTGAGTACATGTATGAACTCAGCTTCAAACATGGCACTCCTCGAATCTCGATGGGGGGCTATAGACAGAAAATTCAAACATGGCACTCCTCGAATCTCGATGGGGGGGGGCTATAGACACAAAATTCAAACATGGCACTCCTCGAATCTCGATGGGGGGGGGGGAGGCTATAGACACAAAATCAGATGACGGATACCTATTCAACGGCCCTGTAAACGTATTCCTAAACCTTTATTATAGCTAAAGGATATTCCAAGGCGCGTTTCAACCCCCTTCGTAGGAGGCTATGCCATATGGTCAAAGTCATACCCCCCCCCCTCAGAGTCCTTCTGCCAAGTTTGGTCCTGCTAATGGCAAAACTTTGAGAGGATATCATGACAAACAAACGATGTGAAATTAATATAAGCTCTCTAGAAATGAAACGATTTTATTTTAAATACGTGCAGTTGTATTCCTTCGTAAATATTCGCCATTGTTATAAAACATATTCACCAACTAAGATCTAATA